GTTTATTGTGGATTCTGGAGCGTCGAGCTGGGAATAATGGCAGTTTATTGCAAAACTTGAAAAAGAACACAACGAAGGTTGGTATCGTAAAGAGGGACCAGGTGATTCAATCAGAGGGTTTGGGGTTAATAGAAGGAGAAATTTGTATTTTGGAAACATTATTTGTACCAGAACTGACTAAAAACTTGTTATCGGTAAATGCCATAACAGAAAAGGAAGATGAAGTCACATTTCAGAACAAGAAGGTGAAGAAAATGTCTACTATACTCAGTAGACATCATCAACACGTAGCAAAAAGAAGAACCTTATTGTGTAAATACTACTAACTTAGACGATTGGCATAGGAAATTGGGACATCTCAGTTTGGAAAATATGAAAAAACTACAGAAAATAAGTAAGGGACTTAACCCCAAACAAAAGGATTATGACAAGTTTAAAAACAATGTTTGCGAGATGTGTTTAAAGGCAAAACATGCAAGAAATCCATTTAACGAAACAAGATTTGTGGACCTACCGATCCTGCTACCTTTGACGGAATGAACTATTTTATTACATTTTTAGATGATTATACTCATTTCACAACAGTTTACTTATTGAAAGGCAAGTTTGAGGCTGTAGATGCGATCAAGAACTACATAAGTGAAGCTGAAAACAGGTGGGGTCTAAAAACTCATAAAATAAGATGAGACAATGAACAAGAATACGTAAACTGAATTGGATAAAGAAAAAAGGTATAGTTTTGGACTGTACAATTCCGTACACACCACAACTAAATGGAAAAGCAGAAACTAAACCAAACAATACTGAAGAGAGCAAGATCTCTTATCTTTGAAGCAAAAGTAAGGAAGGAATTATAGGGAGAAGCAGTGAGAGCTTACTTAATAAATAAATCACCAACAACAAATAAACGAAAAACACCATATGGAATGTGGACAAATAATTACACACCAATTTTTGTAATTCCTGCTAAACTAGACGAACGAAGTAGAAAATATACAATATTCGTTGAATACGCACCAAATGGGTACAGATTGTTTGATAATGATCGTTGTGTCTAGGGATGTAAAGTTCGAAAATAGACGAAAATGGATACTAAAGAACGGAGACGATTGACAGAAGAGGAATTAAAATCTGAAGAAGGCAAATCTGACACAGAATTTAAGGAAGAGAAAGACGAAGAAAAAAATATTAAACAGGAAGAAGAAAATAGTATATCAAAAGAGGAAAACATACGAGAGGAATCGGAAAGTAATGAAAATGTTATAGAAGAAAAGAACGAAAAGACACCAAAGAAATAGAAGATCACCAGAAAAATTAAAATATTATGTTTATTTGACTTTTGAAGAAGCAACCCAAGGGAAAGATAAGGAAAACTGGAAAAAAGCCATAGAGGAAGAGAAAACATCTTTAAAGGAAAACAAAGTTTGGACATTTGTCGAAAGAAAGCGACAATGCTAGATTAGTGGTTAGAGGATCCAAACAAAAGTTTGCAGAAGATTTTGAAGAGACATACGGTCTGGTAATTGGAAACAATGCTATAAGAATGATTTTTACAATAGCTGCACAAAAAAACGACCAAATAATAAAGTTCGACATAAACACGGCATTTTTATATGGATAGTTAACCGAAGATACATACATGGAAGTACCTCAAGGGTACAAACATGACAATAAAGTCTGCAAGGTAAATCCTGCGTTATATGGACTGAAATAAGCACCATTGAAATGGAATGAAAGACTGACAAATTTCCTAAAAAGTGTTGGTTTAGAAACAATTAAAACAGAAAGGTGTATTTTTAAAACGAAAGACGGTACAGTAATATTAATAATATACGTGGATGACGGGTTATTAATACGACAAGACATAAATAAAATTAAAGTGATACTTAAAAAATGTAGTGAAGAATTTAAAATTAAAATAGGGAAATATCCAAAGTCATTCTTAAACGAAAAGATATTGTTTTTGTACCAAAATGTGACTGAAATATTAAATAAATACAACATGACCGAGACGCGAATAACAAAAATTCCTTTAAGTTAAAGTGACGTAAACGAAAAACAAAATGAAAAAGACATGAATGAACAAGAAAGCTATCCGTATCGTGAAATAGTTGGAAGTTTAATCCGTGAAATTAAATATGATGTAAATACAAAGTGTGACGAATAAACCGTGTATAGTAACTCTGATTTTGCAGGTGATATTAACTCTAGGAGAAGTACAACTGGATATATAATATTTTTCAATGGAGGACCTGTTAGCTGGGCTACTCGAAAACAGCCAATGAACAGCACTGTCAACTACCGAGGCAGAATAAATTTCAGCAGCAGAGTGTTGCAAAGAACTAATTTATTTAAAAACTTTCTTAAAGGAACTGTTAAACTTAGACATTAAGGCAACATTGAAAGTAAACAAGGGAAGTGCCATTACTGTTGCTAGAAATGGCATTATAAATTGGAAAAGTAACCATATAGATGTTTGTTATCATTTTATAAATTAAAAAGTTAACTAGGGTATAATGAATATAGAATATATAAGTGCAGAAAAACAAATAGTTGATGTTTTTACTAAACCGCTTGATTTTGTTAAGTTCAAGTCCTTTATTGATTCGTTTAAGTATGATTCAAATGATGTAAATGAAAAAACATATTTTCTTATTTAAGGGGAGGATGTTGGAAGGAATAAAATACTTTAATACGAGAATGTTATTAAACTATTTTTCTAAACTACAGCCAGTGTTCACTAAATTAAAAGTAAAACCCAAAGTACCACCATATTACACCTAGATACAGCAAATATAATCAGTGTTAAAGAAGTGTCCTTATGTCCTACTTATGCATTGAAGTCCCTTGTAGCAATTGTAACGTCGCGCTTTATAACTGTTAGCGTCAAATTGGCGTGTAAACCGTCAAATACGTCTAACGTATAACCTATATAGAGAATAAAAAATTTTCTAACGATGGCAGTAGCTTTGGTAGTAGTCCATTACTATGGAAATAGACATGTTACACGTAAATTTTGGCACTAACAGTCAAATCACGCCCCTGCGTAGTTACTGCCATAGCAGTCGACAGCTACGTGTAACGTCACCTTTACTTTATATCGCTTGCAAATTAAGCGTTTGGTACAAACTTCGAAGTCGAATTTTTTCATATCTATATAATATAAAACCTTGTAAACGTCTCAAGGGCCTCACTTGAGATTGTCCGTCATTTCATACCATTCCCGTCTCTTTATCCTTATCGACACGTGTTAAATGCAGACAGTAAACAATTATTAACTGATGCATTGATTTTATCTCATTTTAAGCACTGTGACTCGGTCTATGGTCTCTGCTTAACTAAAGAGCAGCAAAGAAGGGTGTAGTATATCCAAAATAGTTGATAGGATGTGCTAGAATATGCATAATAGGATGACTCTACATAGAGGAGTAATTTATTTCAAAATCTTAAAGACAAAATTCCTGTTTATTTAAGTAATAAAATAACCTATCGTACTGATGTACATAATGTCAATATTCGCAGAAAAGATGCACTTGCGGTGCCCCGTCACACGTTGACTGCTTTTCGGAGTTCATTTCCTCACCCATTAAAAGTGTTAAAAGTGTCAAATTTAAAAAATTAAATACAGACGGTATATATGTGAGCGACAGACGAGATCGAATTAGTTTTTCTTTTTATACTTAGTTATATAATTTTTTGCGCTGGTACGAATTATTTGTAGTGGTACATAGGAGTCAGGGGAAGAGCAGGCCTCACCACCAAGGTGTTGCCTGACCTGGCAATCTAATTAACCTTCTTATTTTTCTTTATTATGTAAAGTAATTTATATGTGAAAGATTTTTGAGGGTTAATAAATTGCATTATTTTTACTATTTCTTTTTTTATACTTACTTTAATATTAAACAAAAGCTTTAAGTAGTTTCTCAGTATTTTCCAATTATTTAATTTGTACACTTAACTCTGCTAACCATGCCTAGAGAAGAACCTCTCACCCTTCATCGTTGATCGATTATATTCTTTAGAATATCTTGTCCTCAATTCTTTCGCCCATCATCCTTGTCGCCGCATCGCAGTCCATGTGTGATGTTCTGGTGTCGCAAATGCAGTATTCTTCCAATACTTTCCAGCTCTCTATATGATCTTAAATGTTAGATCGTGATGTAACGTTGGCTTTTGACGCCAGGACTAAGTTGCGACCTTTTGAATCTATTTAGCTCTCCATTTGCTTATTCTATTTGAATATTTTTGCTCTGAAATCACAAGCGACAACAATCCTTCCGTTTCCCATATTACATTTTCCAATAGATTTCGTTTTCCCTAGAACTCCGAAATTATTTTCTTCGGTATGAAGTAGCAGGAGACGTAGTAACCTGAAGGATTAGAAACTCTTCTGTTAAGATTGCCATTCTTTATTCAAAAAAATAAAGAATTATAAAACTAAGGGTGACAAGACACTGATATAAGCTGGATACTAGATAAAGATTATAACATTAATCTTATTAATAAAACTGAATAAAAATTTAGATTTTTATATTAAGTAGAACGGTACATTATACCCTAAATTAACGAGAATTATCTGTAACATTAATATATATTTAATAATAACACGTATCTGATAGAACTTAATTACTTCATCAATTATATCAATTTAAACATATATAACTACTCTCTATTATTCTGTTTATGATTTGAATTCTTGCGATACTGTAATATTTATAACTAAAATTAATTGAAATGTAATTAAATTTTTAATCTATTTTAATTAAACTAATTGTGTTTGATTTTATTAGATTATAAACATGATAGCTGGTTTAGCACAATGACATAGGAATATAATATAAACCATGCTACTGATGGTGCATTAATAATAGATAATTCCCACAAATTGACGTTAAACACCAGAAACCACATTGTAACAGAAATTTTCCAAACTAAACCAGCTTATTTTGATGAAAACTGAGCGACTCAAAATATGTAAATGATTACATTTAAAAACATGCATGTATTAAGATAATTCTTTATTATTTTTGTTTAAAATATAAAACATGAATTAATCAAAAATATTTACGCAACTTTTGAACATTACTCATCTTCGGTGGGTTTATGTTCTTCAATGAATTTCAGTGCACGAGCAATGATTGGAGATGGTTGTGGAGGAATCGGAAGAACATCTCCTTGCGCTTGAAAACCATTTTCGTTCGCAATGTATTCGATTTTAACCGGTGTACCATCAGGGGCTGTATAACTATAAGACCCAATTACTTCTTGAACTTGCTTCTCAATTTTATCATCCACTTGATCTGGAATCGTTTTCAACACGGCACTTTGTTCTACGGTGATGCCATTTCCGGTTTCAAAATTATTGGTGAAGGTTCCATCGAAGCCGCTGTCGGTTAATTGGCTTACAATTGGAATTGGTTCTTCTGGAGAAGTATTCTTGCCATATTTTTGGTTTTCTGGTAGTGGAATTGAAAGAGCAATTCCAGAAAGAGCTAACACAAAAACCTGAAAAGAAAATGGTTAACGACAAAGTAAAATGAAGAAAGAGATGTTACCAGGGTCTTCATTGTGGTATGAATGAATTTCTTCAGATCTACTGATGATGAACTTGGAGTCGTTTCGGTCTTTATATACGATATCAAGAGATGTGCAAAAAATAAACTTGAACAATAAAAAACATTAAGAATAAAAAAATTACTTGAAAGGATGGAAGGTACAAAAATTAATATTAATGATATGACATTACCATCGAATTTCTGCATACTATTTCCTATCATCATTAAAAACACGTCTGCAGTTAATAATTTTTTTTTGTAACTGTTGTTTATCACTTTTTAAATTTGGATTCTTTTTAAACCCGAACAAAATCTTTATGGCACTTTAAGAAAAATGTCAAGGTTGAATCAAAATTGTTTTCGTTATTTTTTAAATTCTCTTCACGAATAAAAAATAAACCATTAAAACAGACTAAAAAAAAAAGAGAAAACAAAAAATTTTTACTTCATTTTCTAGTGACAAGTAATGGTATTGCTTGACAAGACTTTTCGTCTTTTATTATCATTTTTTTCGTAGCCAGAAAGGGCATCTGCCTAAGAAAAAATAGCCTCTTCTCAGCTGTTAATAAAGAAAACTTTCCGCTCTAAACGGAATTAGTCCCACGGGCGGCTTTAGGTGATATTGCCCCGACAAGATTTAAAACGGTGACCTCGGGACAGGGGCCCATTCAAAAAGTTTCATTTGCGGGCGAAATTATGCCGCCAAGTTTTAGTCTTTCACGTGAGCCACAGCATTGTTACCCTCAGCCCAACTTCAGAACCGGAAATATAACACCGGCTATACTCCGAGTTTTCTTTCCGAGCCTCGTAAATATTTATGTCCAACTTTAAATTAAATCCACCTTCTAATTGTTCTTTATAAAATTATATCGACCCACATTATTGTTTATTCAATGTAATTATTTTTTAACCTGTAAAATTTATAGAACCCGAAATAAGAAATTAAAATGAGGTACCTAAAAAATATAAATTAAAACACTTCAGTTCATATTACCATTTACATTTATCTTATTCGAAGCAAAATAATAGAAAGTTCACTTATCATCAGTTTTCCTAAGAGGTCTTTTATTGCTTTCAATCATTTCTCAATCTCATTTGATGATTCATCTTATGAGTCATTAAACAAGTCTACACTTAACAAATAAGTTTTGAATATCTATTCACAACCACAAAAAATAAACCTTTAAGCTTCAATGTTTTATTTGTTTCGGATGGAAAGCGAATCAAGAACGACAGATGGACTTAGATTGTGCCGTGATAGCTTTACTTTATAAGTTTATCTAATGCTAAAGCGTCAAATCTTCATTTTTCAATCAAAACCGTTTGCGCTACAGTTTTTCATCTTTTGAAAAATATGTTTAGAAAGTCTTTCCAGGGTTAAGTGCTTCCCGGCGGTATTCCTCAGAAGAACCCATCTTCTGCAGGCTCCAAACCCCTTGCGTGGGCGACAATGCGTCGGAGGTGTTAAAACGATCGTAACTGAGTGACTTTAATTTATTACAATAGAACACGTTCTGTGACACATAAAAAATTGAGAAATTGTTGCTTAGCCCTACCAAAAACTTAACATGCCAAACTCTTCTGCACACAGCTCTCTGTATGTACTTGCATTAGTGGAAAATTTTTTATGATATTAACAGAAACCTTGTCAACACTGAAATAAAGCATTACACATACTCAAAAGTTGGTATTGATTTGATGTCCAAAAACAAATATGATGGGCCGGCTTGGGGGGGGACGTACTGCTGTTGATATTGTAACAGAACAGACGTTGGGCGCTATGTTGATTCGGAATTTCGGGGTGTAAAATGACAATACCGTTGTGTCTTAAATAAAATAATAAAGATTGTATTGTGTTCAGATATAAATAAATTTTAAATAAATATAAATAACTAAAAAACGTTACAATTTGTGTCAGGTGTGGGTGGTGGTCGTTACCTTGGTCGGTCTTCACGCTCTCAGAATTCCAGTGGTCATCTACGACTGTTGTCCTGTAAACTTGAGCTTCCTTCCATTCTGTTCGTTGGCAATACTTGCAGTCTACAGGATATGGCCTTCTTGATAGGGTATCAGCGTTGCAATGTACTCGGCCCGATCGGTGCTCTATATCAGAGTCGAACTCTTGGAGTCTCTCAATCCATCTCGCAATCTGACCACTGGGATGACGGAGGCTGACAGTCGCCCCGTCGTATCATCAGCTCCCGCGGCAACAAGCACCAAGAGCGTAAAAAGAGCGCCAGGAGTGAAACCCGGCCGAAGTACAATTTCCACACGTGCCGGGGTGTCCAGCAGGGGGCGTCGTGCTGGTGTTCGGTCAGCACCACGGGAAAGTGGAGGAAGAGGAAAGTCCTCGACTCCTGTCTGAGGCTCGAGAGGGCGCGCTGGAATGAGAGAGGCCGGTGGGATGGCTGCTCCATCCCAAGCGAGAGGTAAGTAGGGGAAACTGTACTCCGCTCAATGGATAAGTCTATTAACTGTTTATAGGTAAACCAGCAGCACGCTAGGGTGACTACGGCTGTCCATAGCAGAACCTGGATGCTTAACATTAATGCTTTCTTAATCTCATAGCGACCGCGATTGTGTGGCTGCAGTTCTGAAAATCCAAGGTGAGAAGGACTGGACAGAAATTGTCATCTGCTCGGCACACTTCTCCGGAACGGATAGTGATCTTCCCCCGGCCGCTGTGCGAGACATAATTGCCTACAGCCGGAGGAATAACCTACAAGTGGCTGTTGGAAGTGACGTCAATGCGCACCACACAATGTGGGCAAGCACCAACACAAATGAAAGAGAGGAGTTGCTTTTTGCCTACCTATTATGGGAGCGGCTTACTGTTAATAATGTAGGCGCCAAACCAACCTTTGTTGCCAGACATAGAGCAGAGGTACTTGACATTACGTTCAGATCAATTATATTAAGCTCCTAGATAATCTCTTGGAGGGTATCCTCTGAACCGTCGTGTTCAGATCATAGACATATTCAATTTAAAATCGACCTAGGGATGAAATCCGACTGTACGTACCGTAATCCCCGTAGCACTAATAGGGATCCGTTTAAGAGTTGCCTTGCAGATAACTTAACTAGCGTCACCGCTACCGTTAGGAACTGTGATCAGATTGAAATACCCACGGAGCAGCTCTCTGTGGCAATTCGTTCTGCCTATCATAGTAGCAGTCCACTGAAGGTGAAAAGTAATAATCGGAGCACACCCTGGTGGAACGAATCTCTTAGCTCCGAAAGACAAGAGGTCCGGAGGCTTTTTAACTGGGCCAAGACATTAGGTGAATGGGAGAAATATAAACAAGCTCTAACGAATTACACCAAAAATATACGTAAGGCAAAAAGAGAGTCTTGGAGGAGGTTCTGTGAGGTAGTGAAAGACACACCCAGCAGTGCAAGAATTCACAAGATTCTCGCTAGAGATCCGGCACTTCCCCTGGGCCAACTTAAACGGCCTGACGGTAGTTTTACGGACTCTAGTAGAGCCACGTTAGAGCTTCTCATGCAGACTCAGGTTCCAGGAAATTTGATGATCAGGGTTGATAATGCCACAGCGGGCTATTCCTGCAAGGCAAAGCGCCCCTCAAATACGGATTGGAGTATGGCTAGAAAAGTCGTCACTTGCACATCCGTCGACCAGGCGATTCAAACGTTTAAGCCGTTCAAATCGCCTGGAGAAGACAACGTCTTTCTTGCTTTGCTACAGCAAGGAAAGTCACTGTTGTTGCCTATTTTGGTAAAAATTTTCAGAGCGAGTGTCGCCTGGAAATAAGTACCGGCAGAAAGAACTAAGGTAAGGGTAGCCTTTCGACCCATCAGCCTAACGTCATTTCTGTTGAAAACCCTTGAAAAAGTTCCATACGGATCCGTACGGTGCCATTGGTATCTGGTCCACTGAGTCGCCACCAGTATGCTTATCAAGCGGGAAAATCTACACAACTTAGTTGGTAGAGTATCCAGGACGTTGCAGGATAAAGAAATCTTGGTTTGTGCGTTTCTGGATACAAAAGGAGCGTTCAACAACGCAATACCACAATCTCTTGAAAGAGCTGCTGTTAACAGGGGAGTGGAAGCAACTAAAGCGGGTTGGATCCGCAATATACTTGATAGTAGAATAGTTTCTACTTTACTCCACGGTGATACGATAAGCTTCAGGCTGGGAGGTGGCTGTCCGCAGGGAGGGGTGTTCTCTCCCCTGCTTTGATCCCTCCTGCTTGACGATCTGATTGCGATAGTGGAAGCCGTTAGTGTAGAAATACAAGCTTACGCTGATGACATTGTCGTTATGGTCAAAATAACTTGTTTGTCGAGGATATCTAAAGTCTTCCAGGTGACCCTAGATACCATTTGAGCTTAGTGTAAGGGAGAGAACCTCTCGATAAACCCGCAAAAGACAATTGTTGTACCCTTCACCAGGAAACGAATGTTGGATGGACTAATCCGTCCAACTAGCCAAGGTGAAGACATTCCTTTCTCTAAGGAAGTCAAATATCTAGGAGTAATCCTAGACAAAACCTTGTCATGGACTGGCCATTTGCAGGGAGTTTTGCACAAAGCTACAGTATCCTTGTGGACTTGTCACAGTCTTTGTGGAAAAAATTGGGGTCTTATCCCTGAAAGACTCACTATCAGTGATTAACTGCCTAAGCGGCAATCCTGGATCGAAAATGAAAATTCTCTGGTTCAGGCAGATATTTGCATATTCACAGATGGATCAAAAACGCCGGAAGGGGTCGGAGCAGGAGTATATTGCCAGACACCTACAATTAAGCAAGCTTACAGCCTGGGTACGTACTGTACTGTATTCCAGACGGAAGTATTTTTTTTATTCTGTCGTGTGTCGCCGATAACACGGTTTTCACTTTTGACATGAACATTTACAAACAAACCTTTGGTGTTCCCATGGAATCACCGATTTCACCCGTCCTAACCCTAATAACTATGGATTACATATATCCTAATAACTATGGATTACATATATCCTATGATATATCCTACGATATATCCTACATATATCATATGGACAAAGTTATACCAAGTTTGGGTTACCAACATGATTTTATAAGAAAATACGTTGACGATATCATCCTCGCGGTTCCGGTTGATAAAGTTGATGACATCTTCTGACATCAACCAAATTTAATAATTACAACTCCAACATTCAATTTACAATAGAAAGGAAAAACGAAGGTGGTTGGGTACCATTCTCGGACACTAAGGTGATTTGAAACAAAGATAATGTCATAGAATTCGATTGGTATACCAAACCGACTTTCTCGGGGAGATACATTAATTTTCATTCTTTACACAAAACTAAACATAAAAATAACACCGTACTTGCTGAATGAAAACACGAATAGAACGAATATGCAACAAAACTATTAAATAAGATCTTGTTTTCTATGCTGGATTTTAGGAATGTCACCCAATTGGTTCAGAATGACGACCCGATAAAATACACTAAATTACGTTATATTCCCAAATTAAAAGAAAAATTGATAAAAATTTTGAAAGACACCAGTAATATAAACATTAAAATTGTTGAACACTACCCGAATACAGTTAACAAAATTTTCACTAAAACTAAGGATAGAGAAGACATGTTTACTTCTGGAGTTGTGTACAAAGTGCCTTGTAACGATTGTGATAGATGTTATATTGATCAGACGGTTCAGTGGTTGAAAACTAGGTTGAGACAACACAAAAATGATATAAGAACAGGAAAAAGAGCGTGTGCGTTGGCACAACATAGTCTTGATAACGAGCATCAGTTTAACTTTAACGAAACACGAATACTGGACATAGAACGGAATTATTACAACAGACTATTCCTAGAAATGTATCATATAAATAACAACAAAACAGTTAACTTTAGAACGGATATAAACAACCTAAGCAACATCTATTCTTACATTTTCGCTGTTACAAAAAAATTGTAATTTCTGGTTGAAATTGTTTTTAGTTTTTCAAAAATTATTGTATTTCGTGTTAATTAATTAAATCCGTAGGCGGAAGTACACGCGTGTGTCACTCGAATTTTATTGTGTATTTCTTGTTTTTGGTATTTCCCGTAAGAACATTGATATTTTAATCACTTATGTCCCCGTTGTCGAACAAACAACATGTGGTGTCGGACAGGTTCTCTTTGTATAAGTTGTCTTAAGAGGATAACCTATTAGCGAAAACAACGAATACCATTTTATTCAGCCATCGTTTAAAATTTTTGTATGTTTGTTACATCAAAATTTCTATTTTTTTATATGGTTTTTAGTGATGCATTTAGTTTTTTCAAAAAATGTCGCGTAACGTTTTTAAAATCACGTTTTAAAAAATTTTTAAAAACGGAATGCATCACCAGGTAGTGAAATGTAAAGTAAATCATATTTAAAGAGTTCAATTTTTTTATTAAATGCAGCAAATTTAAATAAAATGGGTTTAAAACGTTTAGTCGGTTTTGATTGCTTTCGGAGTATAAATACAGCAACATCGCAAATATTGCTCCGTCCCAAACATTGCCCGAGACATAGTGGAGCTCGGTATTCTCGGTAACCGAGACGTCGGCGTAGTGTCTCCCAAAAAAAACAAACCTGAAGCGATTAATGTTTTCGGATAGATCAAAAAATGTTTATATCACTAATTTAAATTTAAACATTTAATTTACGTAGAATGCAAAACAATGTTTAAGTGTGGCAATAAATTTTTAATAATGAGAATATTTGCACAATTATCTGATCATTTACTATTAGATTAGTTATTAAAATAAATACAAAATAAAAATGTAAAGAATATCACCAAAGGTATATTTTAAAATAAATAATACAACATAAATAATAAAAAAATATATAACTCATTAAAAACTTAAAATTTTCTTAATAAACAATTTTTGCATTTTTTCAAAAATTTTCTGATATAAGGGTACTAAAATTTTATATCATCGTAAAGAGAAAAACAATCTCTATCAAATGAGCCTAACAAAAGGGTACATTGCCATTTAAAAAAATTCAAGCGTTATTCGTTGCTCATTTGTTTTCTGAAATAAAAACAATTGAATGCTGTCTCATTATGGTAAATGAAATATTAAACAACTTTTGTATAAAATGTTTTTTTATAAAGTCAACATTTACCGAGATATATACTATATTCCATAAATAATGGGCACCCTGTATAAAAATATATGGTGGTTCTGTAAGTGATGGCATAATTTCAACCACATATACTGCTAGAGCAAAAATTATGACAACTAGTGTAAACATTTTTAATCTTTAAATACAGGGAGATTTATTAGCTCACCATTAAACTTTAACATATGATCCTATTTCAATTATTTACGAAATTATAACACTTTAAAGTTTTCTGCAGTGAATTTATTAATAGTCAGTAAAATCAAACATTCAACAAAAACAAACTGGTCATTGTAATATGTCAGTTTGCTGTAAGGTTTAATTATTACATACAAGAAGTAACTCAAAATCGACGCTTATAGCACTGAAGAGTATGCTGATATAATTTTTGTGTATGGTTTTTGCAATTGAAATGCTCGACAATCAGTACCAGAATATCAAGAAAGATTTCCACAGCGTCATTTGCCATATTATTCAGTTTTTAGCGATTCTTTCAGAAGACTTCGAGAAACAGGTAATCCTATTCGACCGCATGTAGTTAATGTAGAGGACGAAGAAGTTGCAATTAATGCTGTCATTGATAATCCTTATATCAGCACTCGAAGTATAGCACACAACATACATGTAAGTCAAAATTTTGCATGGCGCGTATTAAACCGCCAAGTCCTTCATCCGTATCGTAAACAGAACGTTCAAGCTCTACAGCCAGGAGATAATCAGCAACAGTTAGTATTTTGTGAATGGTTATTGCAGTCACATGCCCAAATGTTCTCTGGACAGATGAATCATGTTTTACACGAGATGGTATAAATAATTACCATAATGAACATATCTGTTCATTACAAAATCCCCATGCGATTAGACTAAGAAAATTTCAACAACGTTTCAGCATCAACGTTTGGGGTGGAATATTAAACAACAATTTACTTGGTTTGCATGTACTTGATGGACGCTTGAACGCTGTAAATTACAGATTTTTTTGAACATTACACTTTTTGATTTACTTGAAGATATACCTCTTAATGTAATTCAAAATATGTGGTACCAGCACAATGGTGCCCACCTCATCGCGGAAGAGTAGTTGTCGAGTGGTTAAATCAATATTTTCCAAACAAGTGGATTGGTAATAATGGTCCATTTGCTTGGCCACTTAGATCCCCCGACCTTAATCCATTGGATTTCTACTTATGGGGTCATATGAAAGAAATTGTGTATCAAGTGGAAATCAACACACGAGAACAGTTATTAAACAGAATACAAATGGCTGCTACTGAAACAAGAAATCAACCAGACATTTTAATTCGGCTGAAGAACTCTTTAATTCGTCATTGTGAAGCATGTATTCCTCCTTCAGAAGGAGGCTATTTTGAACAGTATTTGTAATATTTGTGTTTTAAAAAAAAATGTAGCAGTTAATTATGATATAAAAATTAAAACTTTAAAGTGTTACGTTAACAAGTTAATTAACTTTTTTTTTTGTAATTGGATTAGCTATCATATGACAAAGTTTGATGGTGAGCTGATAATCACCCTGTATAAATCAATAAATGGCTAAGGTATAGATTACCTTCAATAATTTCAATGATTTGTCATATACAGATAAAATTTGGTATACTGTGCAATTTTATAATGAGGAAACTGATAAGATCGGCATCCACCAACATCAATTTTCGAGAAAATATATAATTTTAACTAACAATCGATAATAATGAAATACTAGTAATAACAGCTATGTTCTAAATGCGGCCCCGACTTGTATTCAAATGCATTCAACTAATTGTAAGAATAAAATCAACGTCGCTGATTGTCGGGGAATTACCCGACAATCGAACAGTCCTAGTCGCCATCGGCCTGGCGCACCAGCCCGGCCCAGCCCGATCGAGTACGCATGGAGCGGTGTTGCCGCATTAGGCGTGTTCACGAGCGAATCTCGTTTCGAATTTTTTGCCAGCTAGGTAGGCCTCTTAAGGGGGTATGCCACCTTTGAAATGAAAAAAAATCGATTTTTTTTGCTTAAAAGTGTTCTCTATATTGTCTAGAATGAGAATCCATTGACAGAAAACATTTGCGGAATGTTTTTCTGCGTAAAAAATTGATTTTTGTAACACACCTCACCGGAAATTCTAAGATTTCTTTAACCACGTTTTGTTTCATTTAGTAAGTATCAGTATTAGTAAGTTTCATTTAGTAAGAGTATCCATTGTATATGCAGGTATTTTGACCTTGTTGTACAAAAAAGTTAAAAAAAACATAAAATATAATTTTTCAAAAACGCTATTGAAGGCAAAATGGAAGTGGACTCCGTCGTAGAGATGTTTCAACGATCCGAAGAAAAACATAATTTGAAGTACAGTTTTTACGTAGGAGACGGAGACAGCAAAACCTTCAAAGGTATTATGGACGCTCAGCCCTATGACAGTCTAATAGTAACCAAAAAAGGATGCGTCGATCACGTTCAGAAACGAATGGGCACACGAAATCTAAAAAGAAACACCCTCGGATTAGGAGGCAAAGTAAAATTAACAGGAAAATTAATTGATGAACTTTCCTTATATTACGGATTGGCTATTCACAGAAATTGCGATTCCGTGAAGGACATGAAAAAAGAGATCTGGGCTACTTTGTATCATAAAATTTCAACAGATGAAACTCCAAAGCATGAAAATTGTCCAGTTGGTGCTGACTCGTGGTGTTCCTGGCAAAAAGCGTACGCTTTGTCAGAAATCGATGAGTACACTCACAAGCCAGCAATCGGCAATGATGTTTTCAACGCAGTGAAACCTGTGTACGAAGAACTATCAAGGGAAGATCTTTTGACAAGATGTTTACGGGGATATACGCAAAACAGCAATGAAAGTTACAACTCCGCGTTATGGTGAATCGCACCAAAAACAAAGTGGCAAGAAGGTGGTTGACATTGCGTCTGATATAGCTGCTTGCAATTTTAATGACGGTCTTACAAGCATTATGGAAATAATGCAAGCAATGAAATTAACAACCGGAAGATGGTGCTTCGACTTGTGTCATGAAACGAATTTAAATCGCACTGAGGCTAAAGGTTAAAGAAGCTCGTGGAAGCCTACTGTCAGACAGAAAAGCTGCAGAAGATGAAAATAAGCTTCAGGACGGACAGCTGTATGGTGCAGGAATCGCTGATTAGATGTATCTAGAAAAAATATACAATTTTTTACATTCGAAAACTTTAAAGGTGTCTTCTGGAAACAACATTTTTCAAATCTGTGCACACGATAACTTCCACATTTTTCAACGGATTTTCAAGATATTTTTTTTCAAAAGTTTGTATTATCTTATTCTAGGTAAGTACGTAGCCGTTTTTCGATATGTCTCAGATTCTCTGTTTTACAACCATTTTTATGTAGGTTTTTTTATCGATAAATACATTTCTTGTAAAATCGTCACCATTTCGTCAAAAATGAATATTTTTTAAAAATCCTACGTAGTTCCCTAGTTTTTGAGTTTACTAAAGTAATCGTATTCAAGTTTTAATTATTCGACTTACGCGTTAGGAGAAATCCTGCGCACAGTTTGACCTTGCACAATTTGCAAGCCTAACATTACCGATATGTAGCGGGTGCAATTTTAATAACTGTTAATAAATAAAATATGTATTTAAAACTAGAAAAGTGGCTTATTCACACCCTGCAACCCGTTTTTAGAAAACTTCTTTCGTCTGATTACAAAAAAATTTTAAAAATACCTATTATTTGTCGGATCTTCAAGGTGGCATATCCCCTTAATTGACTAAGTATTATTTTACTCTATTTGACTTTAAACATAATTTTTAATTGTTAATTCGTTGTAGAACCAAATCATCCTGAAGAATCATCCGCAGTTGCGGATATCCGTTATATCACTAGTTGTAGTTTTACCAGAAAGACACCTGAATGTTTAATGAAGTGCGAACCAACATTTAAAAATTTTTAAATTTTGTGTACAGGTATCCCAATTTCGATGTCCACATAGGCTATCTCCGAAACTAAAAGAGATAGAAAAAAAGTAGCTTACATGTCATGATCTCTTTTTTCGAGAAAATGCTAATGCCGAAAACTCCGAACAGCTATCGTCTTTTGTTTTCGCCCTATCGGCAAAAACAAAATATTTTGCGAAAACGACAATCGCGAATATCTCACTTATTATTATATGGGCAACTTTTTACGAAGAATTCAGTGGCGTAGGTAGAATTTTTTTCGCATCATTTATTTTCGAGATTTTAGACGTAACTTTATTTTTTTAAATGGAAACCATAGTTGGCTATGACCTAAAATAATTTGTTATTTTCTTCTGATAACAAATATATATAGTTTGTAGGGTATGTTTCTTATAGTTATTGAATAATTAATAAAAAATCATTTTGTTCTATCTAAAACTAATGTATGTATTTAAAAGTTAATGTTGCTATGGTGATAACAATACATACGTTACATAAGTCTCAAATGATATATTTTCAATATGAAGGAGCACCAGCACATAATGCCAGAGTTGTTAGTAAATTTTTAAATACTACTACAAACTTTGGCAGTCATTGGAAATAATGAGCACGTTCAGCCGGTGTCAACTGTTGAGTTGCTATATTAGCAGTCGCGGCTGAACGATACGCTAAGTCAGCGCTGTTACGCAGCAGTTTAGTAAATATCTCAGCGTAAGTAATCTGCGCTTAGTTTGTCAGCGGTTGTGAAATTCTAGGTTAGGATTAATGTTTTTTGTTTCTCCCCTTTAATTTTGAAAACTGGCAGAACTGTATAAAATGAAAGGAGCCTTAAAACCAACATCATCATCCATTATCTCTTGTAATAACACAAAATTTTCAAAAATATTATTGTTGGCCATAGTTTTAGGTTACGCTGAACTGCTAATTCTCAATTGCTTGTTCAGCCAGAAATGTTCAAAAACTTAGATTTCTTTTTTTTTTTAGTGCTATTAATGAAATCGGAACCCTACATTTTTGCATTTAACACGAAAACGGTGACTTTTATCAATATTATCTAAGAGTAATAAAAGTTTCTAAATTAAATTTGCTATTAGAAACTGCAAACATAAATGTACGGTTATGATAGAATAAAAAAGTTCTGAACAAACAAACTTTAGGAACATTCTGTATAGCATGGTTCCCGATGACCGATCCAATTCATAAATTGCCTGATCATAAACTTTTATGGCCTGTATCTTTGAAATTTGACGACTTTTACTAATTTTTTTTTACATGAATCGTCATCATTTTCACTTTAGTATATATGGTTAAATTTGTTCCCCGAGTCACCGAAACACCCTGTATATTTGTTATCAGAAGAAAATAACAAATTATTTTAGGTCATAGCCAACTATGGTTTCCATTTAAAAAAATAAAGTTATGTCTCAAATCTCGAAAATAAAAGATGGGAAAAAAATTCTACCTACGCCACTGAATTCTTCGTAAAAAGTTGCCCATATAACGTTTCATTTATAATACTCCCTCTTTGATAATAAGTGAGATATTCGCGATTGTCGTTTTCGCAAAATTTTCAGTTTTTGCCGATAGGGCGAAAACAAAAGACGATAGCTGTTCGGAGTTTTCGGCATTAACATTTTCTCGAAAAACGAGATCATGACATGTAAGCTACTTTTTTTCTATCTCTTTTAGTTTCGGAGATAGCTTATGCGGACATCGAAATTGGGACATCCTGTACATAAAATATTTGTTACTTTAATGTAACTTAATGAAGTGATACTCATGAGTCTCACCACATAGCTTTTTTGCTCAAATGAATGTAATTATCTCAGTTTATAAGATTTGATATTAGAGGGACTCTTTTTTAGCACTTCTGAGAATGACCCTAATGATAACCTTAATTCCAATAAATTAACAAAAGCTGTTATGTTAATAACAAATATTGAATTAAAGAAAAGTAATTGTGTTTATTAAAGTTTTTATTTTAATAAAACTAAATAAAATATCTGGAATGTTATACAGTTTTATTTGTCAATGAACACATACACTTTTACTAATTTATGTACACATTTATAGTACAACATAGTTGAAACATCGCTTCTACAAAAACATGGCGATATACACAATAAAAACTTGGTAAGATTAACCTTATAAATAAAAAAGGTCATTTTATATCCTTTGTTTAACTAAAAAAAATATTAAATATATAAATTGGTTTTTATAAATACCAAGTTTTTTTAATTATACAGAAAAAAAAATAACATAAAATAACAAGAGCAAAACCTCTTTTTGTATACTTAGCACCTAAATTAAATTTCATACAGATTCAGTTTTATTCAAGAGAGTTTAACATCAACAATTGCTTCAGAACTTTAGTTTGAGAAGTCTCTCGTATTTCCCCGGCCAAAAACATTTCATCTACTACAGTATAAACTTTGTAAAAGTTAAAAACTAAATCCAGTTCGCATACATTGTGGAAGTATTCATTTAAAACTTCAACAAAATTATGAATCGCCTCTAAATAGCACAGGTTATTGTCGTTAACATCTACACAAATACAAAAGTATAAACCAGCGTATCTTCTATAGACGATCTTAAAGTTCCTAAACTAAAAATGTATCAAATCATTAATAAATTAAGATAAATTTAAAAAAAATTAATACAAACCTCGACGAAATTGGTATGTTTAGCATCCCGAACTGTTACCACAGCATGTACCTCCTCTATTAATTTTTGTTTCTCATCATCGTCGAAATTCATGTACCATTTCGCTAATCGAGTTTTTCCAGCTCGATTCTGTATTAAAATAAATCGAATCTACAACAAATATAGATTAAAAAGTGGGTGTATCACTATAACCTAACTTTTTATTAAACTTCAAAAAAAAATCTAATATCAATTTAAACTAAATCAATCTAGATTTAATTCGAAATAACACCAGAAATAAACGCAACCATACCATTCTTTTATTAAATTCTAAACTTAATAAATACTATACTATTATTATTAGCAAAAAAGCAATCTGTCAACTGTCAGATTTTAACTTATTGATTTTACAAGGTTCTTAAAACTAAAAGTCCCTAGATACATTATATTAATGCAAATAATTAATTATTTATTCAATTTTTTTGGTTAAAACAAATCAAATTATATCGATATTTAATGATAATTTAATATTTTATGTTTAAAATTTATTATTGTACATATTATTTTATGTGTGGTAGCACTGTTAAAAACAGTAAACAAATTTTTAGATAGGTTAGTTGTCATTAGTGTCAAATAACGAATCTGCATAATTTAAGCATAAAATGCCTCACGACCATAATTATAAAAGAAAATATTCAAAGCAACCTCAAGTGAAGCCTGAAACGTTAGATGAAGTGGAGCAAACACCCACAATGCAGTTATTTCGCCAATACGCTTCAGAATTGGACGATAAACACGATAGATATGAAAGAATTGTGAAAATGAGCAGAGATATTACAATAGAAAGCAAAAGAATAATATTTTTATTGCATAATGTCGGCGTTGATCTGGATTCTAAACGAGAACAAATACATAAAGAAGCCGAAACAAGATTAAATCAATTATTGTCTAAATTTAAAGCTATTGCTTTAGAATTGGAGGGACATGAACATTATTTGTATTTGAGAGCTTATGCTGCTGGGTTGGAGGAATATTTAGAAGCGTTATATTTCTACGAATATCAAACAACTAATAAACTTCCTTTTATAGAAGACATAACATCTAGATTCCATTTTTCGATTGAATCAGAAAATGAAAGAAAAGAATTAACTCTTTTAACTCCTATAGTTGAAATGTTACTTGGTATTGGTGATTTTACGGGGGAAATGATGAGAAAATGTATTAATAACCTTGGGAGTGGAAATTTGGAAAATTGTTTTAATTTATGTTCATTTGTGAGACAAATTTATGTGGGATTTATGGGTAAAATCTGACTAAATAAAAAGGAAGTGATTAAATAATTTAAAATTGATTTTTTTAGGTTTGAATTGGATTGGGCACAGTTTTATATCTAGGAAGTATCATACGCTGCGGGAGAGCTTGTATAAAATGGAATTGGTTTGTTACAACATTAAAGTGAGGGGTAGTGAAGTTCCTAAACATATGTTGGATGTCGGTTTAGCATCATATCCTAACTTAGATGATGATGAAGGATATTATTAAAATTATTATTAAGATTAATTTTGTTTCTTCACAAAATATATCTTCTTTTAATTTAACAATAATTGAATCAGCGAGTAGAAGAAGGGTCCATGTGCAGATTAATAAATTTTACAGGAGATAGAAAAAACTATTTATATCAAAAAGCAATGTTATCGTCTACAAAGAAGTTGGTCATATCGTTCCATAGAAATGTTCTATGGAGAAAAAAAATCAAAATTTGTTTTATAAAATGTCTTTCTTTTCAAAAATCTTTCATACACTTGGACTCTTTTTCCACTCGTTTCAGTTCTCATCTTTTTTATTATTATTTTTGATGTCTCACGGATAAATTGTTTATTTTGTTCCACAGAAATGTTTTGTAGTGAAACAAAATCTACATTTTTATTGTTTTGTAAAAATAAATACCATACATTTAATAAAAAAACTTTATTCTGTATTTTCAGTACTTGTAACTTTCCAAGACAATATGTAGTAGTAAAACTCCAAATCTTCACCCATGGAGTATTGCAAGACGTTCCTCAGGTCCTTAACTTTCTTTTCATTTAGAGGTATTTATCAGTAGTTGTAGTTTATCAATAAACTGGCAGACAGTTACAAAGCCTTCAGTGTTAGCATCAAAAATAAAATGATGGTATCTAGAAACGCTAAACATTTCTTTACTTTTCGTTTCAACAGACCTGCAAGTCTTCTTATAATATTTGGCCCACCAGTCTTTGTAATTGGTAATATCGTTAAAAGTGATTCTTTTTAATTGAAATTGTCTACTGATTCTGCATTTCAATATAATAATAATAATAATAACTTTATTCAGGCTTCATCAAGTACAAAGAAAACTTAAAAAAGAAAATATACATATACAAAGTTCACAGAACAGAAAAATAAAAAGGAAAATGATAAGTACAGTCATGTTCACGGGAAATGCACACTTAAGGTCAAGCGCTGTTGTGAGATCCGACATGCCGCTGACCGAGCGCACACGAAGCTCGTGGGCATTCGGCTCAGCCTGTTTAGCCAGCGGCATGTCGGATCTCACAACAGCGCTTGACCTTGAGTGTGCATTTCCCGTAAACATGACTGTACATGCCTAAGTAAAATAAAATACATTAAGCCTGAATTTAGGCGGAGTTCAGGTAACACCTGTTCTTCCACTCAAATCAAAAACAATATTAAACTAAAAAATTCAATGACAACCGAGCACCGCCATAGGCTAATGTCGAACATGTACAATAGTTAACCACACATACTATACTATACCGGGTGTCCTTCAAAAGTGGCTCACCCCCATATTTTTTTTATTATTAGTGATATAAGAAAACCATTTGGAATACATAATTAGGCCGTTAAAACAGGAAATCATTTTCTTTGTGCTTCCGGTTATACCGGAAGTGAGTACTAATTTCGCAATTTTTTTAAATCTATAAGTTTTTTTTCTTCAGTTGGGCAGACAGCATAATTTCACATAACTTTTACATGAAAAAATTTTCACGATCGCTTATAATTTTTGAAAAAAGAATTATTTTCATTGTTTTTTACCCTATTGTTTTAGTACCTTCGGAAAATGTATTACAACATTTGACGCATAGTAACTAGGTTAATAGTATAAACTACGTTATGTTCCTCGTGATTTACTATTTCTCGAGCAGTGATCACTGCTATGCTTTAGTCAGTGGTTCTTTTTTAATAATGGTGTAAATTAACAGTTGTATTAAATTAGTTTTAAAAGAAAAACTCCAAACAACAAGTAAATTTAATTCAATTATAAGGACAAAAAAACTAATTTTCTAAATTTTCAAAATAATAAAGATATACAGGGTGTTCCGGTGACTCGGGGAATAAAATTAACCTCATATACTAGAGCAAAAATGATGACGATTCGTGAAAAAAAATTATTATAAAAGTCTTTAAATGGTCAAGATATAGGCCATCAAAGTTCAGAAGTTTTAACACATTTTTCTAAATATTTTCAATACCATTTATGGCAGAGCGTTGAAATTTGGTACAGGGTAAACAAATATCAAGCAAAATCATTGAACCAATTTTGACTTTGATCGGGCGGCGGCAACCATGCTATACAGGCTGTCCCTAAAATTTGTTTGCTCAGAACTTTTTTGTTCGCTCGTAACCCTACATTTATTTTTGTACTTTTTAATAGAAAATTTATTTTAGAAACTATTATCACTCTTTGAAAATGTTGATAACATTTACTGTTTTCGAGTTATACGCGAAAATGTTAAGCTTTGATTTCAATCGTAACAAACAAAAAAAGGAAACATATTCCGTAAGATCTGAGTTGGCGATGACAATTCAAAAACGAACTGAGCTAATAACCATTATTTGCATACATTTCTAAGTGCAGACTTGGTTAAATCCAGTGTTAATTTATTTTAGTTGAATAAAAGAATGTAATTTCCAAAACAATAAATTTAATTTCCGGTTACAACAAACAAGAACATAACAAAAATTCTAACAAAAATATTAACAATAACAATAAAATTATAAACAAATAGTAATAAATAAAAAAGAACAAAAAAATACTAAAGCAGATGCACCCCTGATATCGCCGTCTTAAATTAAAGCGCACTCTGCGGAGAACATCGATTTCAGTTTGAAGTTGATCAAATGAATCAACAATTCGCAACCTCAGTTGATCAACTCGTTTTCGATCAACTGATTTAAACGCAGTAAATTAGCGATTTAACGCGTCCCCATAAATAAAAATCTACAGGTGTAAGATCCGGCGATCGGGTGCCCACTTATCGGTGCACCTACTCCTAGTCCAATCTACCGTCCCGGAAAACGTTCCCTCAGAAATTCTTGGACAGCTTGTGTGCTATGCACAGGAGCACCATTATGCATATACCATTTTGCTTGCCTTGTGTTTAAAGGACCGTCATCTAAAAAATCATCTAATTCTTCTAAATGTCGCCTGTATGTATGTCCATCCAGCCTTGATGGCAAGAAAACGGGTCCAATAATTACATCGCCCATAATGCCAGCCCAAACGTTAAGAGAAAATCTCCATGTAATTTCCAAGTTTTCTTAAATCTTGGATTTTCGTCCGCCCAACTATGTAAATTTCTCAAATTGAAGATTCCATCTTTAGAAAAAGTGGATTCATCTGTAAAAAGCACTTTTTCTTAAAACTGATCATCAATTTGGATTTTGTGCTGCATTATTTGGCAATATTGCAGTCGCAGTGGGTAATCAGCCAGTCGAACTTCCTGAACTTTGTAACAATGAAATGGATAAAGTTGTTGCTAGTGAAGAACACTCCAGACAGTTGTTTTTGAAGTTAAAAAGTGCCTCGCCATATCCAAAGTACTAGCTGTAGTATTTTCTTCTACGTAGTCTAGAATATCTACTTCTAGTTCGGGTGTTCGGACTGATCTTACGTTACTGTTACTTACTAAATTTCGGCTTAAACGTCCCATTTTCCCTTAAACGGGTTTCAGTCCTTAAAAATGTTTTTCGATTGGGCGCTCTGCGTATCGGAAATTTCTCCCGATAACGGTTAGTGGCTGCTACGGCGTTTCTATGACATTCCCCTAATGTCAGAATCATGTCAGTTTATTCACTAAATGTGTAACTCTCCATTTTGAACACTTAAAATTAATAAAAACTTAACTAACAAAAAACTATCATTTGTGTGTAAACGACATAAGCAAGTTAACAGCTCAATTTGTTTTTTTAATTGCCATAGCCAACCTTGACTTTTTCTAAGATTTTTGTTTTTTAGTGTTACCATTGAAATCGAAGCTTAATATTTTCACGTATAACTCGAAAACGGTAAATGTTATCAAAATTTTCAAAGAGTGATAATAGTTTCTAAAATAAATTTTCTATTAAAAAGTACAAAAATAAATATAGGGTTACGAGCGAACAAAAAAGTTCTGAGCAAACAAATTTTAGGGACAGCCTGTATAGCATGGTTGCCGCCGCCCGATCAAAGTCAAAATTGGTTCAATGATTTTGCTTGATATTTGTTTACCCTGTACCAAATTTCAACGCTCTACCATAAATAGTATTGAAAATATTTAGAAAAATGTGTTAAAACTTCTGAACTTTGATGGCCTATATCTTGACCATTTGAAGACTTTTATAATAATTTTTTTTCACGAATCGTCATCATTTTTGCTCTAGTATATGAGGTTAATTTTATTCCCCGAGTCACCGGAACACCCTGTATAATTGTATCTTCCGTATTGTCGATCTAACAACTCGACGTAATTCCTGCGGAGATATTTGGGTAATACAGTTTCTAACACGATTTTCTAATACCTCACGAGACCTTACAGGTGTATTATACACCTCATTCTTGATTTGGGCCCATAAAAAAAATCTAAAGGTGTGAGATCAGGTGATCTGGAAGGTCAAAAGATAGGAATAAGGAGAAATGTGAGAAAGAACCAGTTTGTTCTCACCGTGGTGGCCACTTTATTGGTCCATTATTTCCAATCGTTATTCGTTATTCTTTTCTTATCGTCTTCCAGCAAATCCTCAATTCCATTATTATGGAAGTTGAGGTATCTTTCCCCTCTAAGGTGACCATCAAAAAATATTGGACACACCACTCTTTCTCCAATGATTCCCATCCAATAATTAAAACCAAATCTTTCTTGGAAATTCCCTTCGTCCATCAAATATAAATTTTCTTGTGCCCAATACCTTTTATTATTTCGATTAAACATACCCAAGTTAGTAAATCGACTCTCATCTGTATACAGAATTTTGAAGGGAATTGCATTATCGTTTTCATATCTTTCTAAATACCAATTACAATACTGGAGTCGTCTTTCATAATCATTCTCGTACAAATGTTGATGTAATTGGTATTTGTAAGAACGAAGTTTTTTTTTTTTTAAAATCCTCCACACCGATGTTTTTGAAATTTCGCACTGTATTGCAATCTCCCTAACTGATGCACATTTCATTCCGTATCGCCACTTACAATGTATCTAAGGTTTCCATTATTGACCGGGTCTGTTTGCATTTTCGCCACAATTTTTGGAATGTAATGCCTTGTTGGGTGGTGACGACCAGGAAATCTCTGCGCGTAAAGTCTAGCAGCAGCAACTGCGTTTTTTCTGCATTCTCCAAATATTAGACGTTAAAAAGTGTGGAATGTTAAAAATTAGAAAAACTTTAAGAGAAAGCGTTGGTGGGATGAGATGAGTCTCGCTGAGATGATATCCATCAGATAGCAAAATGCTTTATTCTTATTTGATTTCCAGTCTACACTTATAGCTTCATTGACTTTGTCGCTGATGATGGGGTAACCCGAAACTAGTACGACTTTACATAAATAAATGCAAGTTAGAAGTTTTTACATGGTTTTTACAAAGTATTATGTTTTCTTTTTACCATAATGACGGTAATAGTATATTAAAAAACAAGTTTCGTAAGACACGCTTGAAATGCATGATTTTAAGTTGAAAA